GTGTGTAGGTCCATGCCTGGGATCCAAACTCACAAACCCCAGGCTGCTGAAGCAGAGTGCACAAACTTAACCACTACATCACTGGGCCAGCCCACTACCTTATTTTTAAAGGACAGTGTTTCCAGATACAGGATTCTTGGTTGACAGGTTTTTTTCTTTTAGCACTTTGAATATATTGGCCACTGTCTTCTGGCCTCCAAAGTTTCTTATGAGAAATCTGCTTATAATCTTATTGAGGATCACTTGCATATGATGATTCACTTCTCTCTTGCTGCTTTCAAGATTCTTTCATTGTCTTTGTCTTTTGAAAGTTTGATTATAATGTGTCTCAGTATGGGTCTCTTTGAGTTCATCTTTCCTGGAGATTATTGAGCCTTTTGAATGTTTATATGCATATTTTTCATCAAATGTGGGAAGTTTTCAGCCATTATTTCTTCAAATATTCTCTCTGTCCATCCTCTCTCTCTTCTATTTCTGAGACTCCCAGATGCATATAATTATCCACCTGATGGTCTCTTAGGCTCTAGTCACTTTTCTTCAATCTTTTTTCTTTCTGTTCATCAGCCTTGATAATTTCCACTATTCCATCAGGTTTGCCAATTCTCTCTTCTGCCTGCTCAAATCTGCCTTTGAATTCCTCTAGTGTATTTTTCATTTCAGTTATTGTACTTTTCAGCTCCAGAACTACTTCTTAGGTTTTCTATCTACTGATATTCCCAATTTGTTTACACATCATTTTCTTGACTTTCTCCACATCTCCCTTGAGTTCACTGAGAATCTTTAACACAGCTGTCTTAAAGTCTTTGTCTAGTATATCTGCCATTAGGTCTTTTTTAGGGATAGTTTCTGTTGATGTATTTTTTCCTTTGAATAGACCATACTTTGTTTCTTTGTATGCCTTGTGAATTTCTGTTGAAAACTGGACACTGGAATCCTATAATATGATAATGCTGGAGATAAAATTCTCCCTCTTCCTAGGGTTTGCTTTTTAAAAAAAATTGCTGTAGGATACTTCCATGTCAGGGATAAGCATGAGGTATATACATTTAAGGTCTTCTCAGGTCTTTTCTGAGCCTATGCCTTTCCCTGGGTATGTGTAGTGACTTTCTAAATTCCCCCATATATGTGAATGTGCAAGTCTGGCTCCAAAATGGGGAAAAAGGAAAAGTAAAGTGGGGGAAAAAAGGCACTAGTCCCTTAACTCCATGGAAGTCCCTTCAGCCCAAGGGGTAGGGGCTTGCAACAATGGCAGTGGGGTTTGCAACAATGGCTCCCTACCTCTGTGTCTGCAGCTCTACAATCAGAAACATCAATCCGCTATCAGAGCACAGATCCCCAATATTTGGAGGACAGGGTCCTTATTGACCACTTTGGTTCCCACAAGCACAGATCCCCAATATTTGGAGGACAGGGTCCTTACTGCCCACTTTGATTTCCACAAGCTTTGTGCAAGCTGCTCAAGGAATGTGTGCATGGCTGCCTGCTATAGGTCTGAAGGTGGGGAGATGGGTAGCTGCTACCACGCTGAGAGCTGAAATTAACCAAAATTAACCATTCAGACCTTCCCCTAGAAGCTGCAAGCCTTTGATAGACTCCTGAATTCCAAAATAGTTACATCAGATTCTGCAAGTCCAATTATCGTCTAGGTTGGGAGATGTATTCCTGGTGCTTCCTACTCCATCTTCTCTATAGCTACACCACTGATTAATTTTTAAATGTTAAAATAGCCTTCATTCCTTGAACAAACCCAACTTGGTTGTTATATTTTACTTTATTAAAAAAATTAATTGTTCGATTCAATTTGCTCATATTTTGGTAAGGATTTTTGCATCTATATTCATGTTAAGACTGGCTTGTCATTTTCATTTCTTGTGAAGTCTTTGTCAGGTTTTGGTACTAAATTAATGCCCACAAAATTAGCTGAAGAATTTGTATAAATCCTCTTGGCCTAGTGTTTTGTTTGTGGAAAGGCTTTTCATGGCAGAGTCCAAGTTCTTCAACAGGTACAGAACTAGATTTTTTATTTCTTTTTTTCCTTTTCTATTTCTTTTTTAAGATTTTTTTTGAAGTATAACTTTCAAACATAGAAGAGGAATATCATAAATGTACAACTTAATGAATTTTCACTTACTTACACTTACCTGTGTATCTAGTACCTAGATCAAGATACAGAACATTACAGCAGTGCCCTAGAATCTGGGTGTGCTCACTCTAGTCACCAACCAACTCTACTCTCAGAGAGTAACCTCTGACTTCTCTAAGCAGTGATTACATTTGGAATCATTTGAAATCAGAAAGTATATAAACAGAATCATGGAGTACATACATTTTTAGGTCTGGATTTTTTTTTTTATTCAAACTACGTTTGTGAGATTCTTCCACTACTTTTGTGCATGGTTGGAGATTGCTCATTCTCATTACTGTAGAATATTTCACTGTGTGAATATGTCGTAATTTATTTATGTATTCTCTGATGAGCGTTTGGATAGTTTCTGGTTATTCTGAATAGCACTTCTGTCAGCAATCTAGTGCAGTTTGGTAACATATGGAAGCATTTCTGTTGAGTGTATATCTAGGAATGAGACTTCTGAGTCCTGAGCTATGTGTACGTTTAGCTTTAGGAGATACTACAAACAGTTTACCAACGTGGATGTACCAATTTACACTCTTATCAGTGTTATATGAGTTTCAGTTGCTCCACATCCTTGTCAACATTTGATACTTTCTGTCTTTTTCATTTTAGCTATTGTGGTGTGTTGGTGGTAGCATATGACATTTTGGTTTTAACTTGCATTTCCATGATTAATTGAAGACCATCTCATATGTTTACTGACTATTTGAATATCATCTTTTGTGAAGCGTCCAAGCCCTTTGCTCATTTTTCTATTGGGTTGCCTGTGTTAACCTTTTTAATGTATACGGGATGTGGAGTAACATTCCCACTTTCATTCCTTATATTATTTATGCCTTCTTTATTTTCTTTTCTTGATCTTTCTTATTAACATTTTATAGCATTTTCAAAGAAAACATTTTTGGCTTTGTTAATCCTCTCAACCATATACTTGTTTTCTATTTCTTCTTTGAATTTGACTGCTCTTTTTCTAATTTCTCAAAATCTTAGATTTTCAACATTTATTTCCTATTTGACTTCTAACATTCTTTCCTAATATTTAAGGCTGTGGGTTTTTCATCACTAAGGCTACTATATCCTCCAAATTTATTTATTTATTTATTTATTTACATGCGAGGGGGTGGACGATAACTTCCAAATTTATTTACTTGACAATTTCATTACTATTTAGTTCAAAACATTTACTAATTTATGCTGTGATTTCTTCTTTGACCTATTCAGAAGAATAACACTTAATTCACAAATGTATGGGGATTTTCTAGTGATCTTTTTATTATTGATTTGTTTTAATTTCATCATAGTCAGAGAATATTTGTTTTCAATCATTTGAAACGTATGGCTTAGCATATGATTAGTTTTGGTAACTGTCCTATATGCACTTGAAATCAATGTGTCAATTTTACAGATGTTGAGCACAGTGTTCTACATATGTCTGTCAGGTAAAGTTTTTAATCTGTGTTGTTCCATAGCTTTACTGATTTTTTGTTTTCTTATTCCATTACTTGCTGACTGATGTCTTAAGTTACAACTGAGGAATTATTTTTTTTTCCTGTATAGTTGTCAATTTATAAATAGAATTTATGTATTTTGAGATTGTGCTATTAAGTACAAACAAATGTATGAATATATCTTCCTGATGGAGTGAACCTTTTATTTTTATGGACTGTCCCTCTCCACTAATACTTCTTGCCTTAAAGTATACTTTGACAGTAATATAAACCAGCTTACTTTCAGTTAATGTTTGGACAGTCTGTCTTTTTTCTGTTGTCTTACTTTCAGCCTTTCTCTAGCCTACTATTTAAGGTATGTCTTATGAAAGCAACATATAACTGATGGGTTTCCTAACACACTACCCCCCAAACATGGCACCTTGGCATACTGAATATTTTAAGCTGAATGAATTTAAAAATGGCAGGTATAGGAAGGACTCTGCGACCTTCACCTGAAGCAGGTCATGAGATCCCCACATGAGAGGTCACTTCTCTACACCTGGAAGAAAGGAGACCCTTATCTCCGAAGATGTAGGGATGCCAGGAGGAATCTGAACAAAGAGGCCTTGTTAGTTTCCCCTAGTTTACTACTCTTGGCTCATATCCTTCAGTCCAATCACATTTTCCCATGACTTTCCACTCTTCAACAAACTCAGTATAAAATGCTCAGGTTTAACTGTTTCTTCGGGTCTTCATTTCCTTATGAAGGCTCCTGTGTTACATAAGACTTAAATTAAGTAAATTTGTATGCTTTTCTCTTGTTAACTTGTCTTTTGTTACAGAGGCCGAGCTGAGAACCTAGAAGAGCAGAAGGAAAAGATTTTTTTCCTCTTCTACAAGAGTAATATATAGTGGTTTATTTTTCCTTCATCCATCCTGACGATTTTGTCTTTTAATTGGACCATTTAGTCTAGCATTTAATTAATGAAAATTCTGGGTTCATTCATACCATCTTACTATCTGTATACTTTTTGCACCACCTATTCAATATTTCTATTTGCTCTTTCTTTTAGTTTTTATTTAAGTCCTATTTTTTGCCCTCTATTAGGTAAACAGTTATACATTATTTTATTCTCTGACTGGTTACCCAGAACTGCACTGTTCTATTTAGTAGGTACTTGCCACATGTGACTATTTAACCTTACAATTCAAATCCACAGTACCTCCTACTTCAGTATATTATTGTTGATGATGATGATGACAGCAGTTAATATCATAGAGTGCGTATTTAATCCTCACAACAACTGAGGTGGGGATACCACTATAATCTCCATTTTACAGAGAAAGGAACTGAGATGCTGAAAGGGTAAGTAAATTACTCTAAAGTGATAGAGACTGGATTTGTACTTAGAGGCTGTGCTTTAGGCATTTACACTTACATGATATTTTCCATGGATTTGGGTTTAATAAAAATGGAGATTGGGTAAAGTTGTGCAATCTGTAATCTCTTTATGGCATTTCCAGACACATCAAGGATACAGTGTTTGCCCTAAAATAGAGGGAATAAAGAAGAAAAACAAGTGAACCAAGTATTTTCAATTACATCAGAGGTACATTTCCTACAAGTACAAAATCTGGATTTTGATATGTTTGGATCCTGTTCACTGTAAGCAATACGTAATTTTTGTTAGCAAATTTCAGAGGGGAAAGGAAATGAAGACAATGCATAATGACTATGAGTAACTAATTTTCCATTCTCAGATATCGCATTTAAAAAGGAAGGAAAACTCAGTTCTCTTACTCCTAGTTTCCACTGACCAATAACGTCTCATAACGGCAACCAGTATGGGGTTCCTATCTTCTATTTTGCTGAAAAAGGGCATTAAAAAAAACAAACACCCCAAGCTACCATCTTACCATAACCATCAATTCATAAAAGGATGTATGATCAACAAGAAGGCAAAGAGCCTAGAATAAAGGAGAATCTTTAAAATTGAATACATTTAAATTTGTAAAACCTCACTACCACTACTCTATCCTATTTCTTATTTTACTGGGGACTAGCAAAAACTCTTATCACAAACTGCCATTTGGATCCAGTTCTAGATCTGAGACACTTTTCTGACATGCTCAAATTCACTGACAAAGGCCATTTAGGTTTTTTAATAAAGACAAGCAATTCCATGTTAAATAAGGTTGTATTTATAATAAATTATAAAATCAAACAGATTTTATAAAAAACAGATTATATAATGTTATAAAATCAAACATTTTATTATAACATTTTAAATTAGATATTCCCCTACAATGGATTTTGTAACCTAAGGACTTGAGCCCACTTCAGTGAATGATAACTTCAATTTAGTAGGAATATTTAAAATAAAAAATTTAATATTGTATAAATACTTCAAACATATAGAAAAGAAAATAGCAGACACACATATACCCACCATCTACTTTTATCAGATATTAACATTTTACCTGATTGCTCAGAAATTAAAAAAAAATTTACACTGAAACATTAATATTCTATCATGTTTGCTTTATTTTATCGCTCTCTCTATATGTTCATAATAGCTTGAGAGAAAATCGCTGGCATAACACTTTTTCACCCCCATTTCCTAAAAACAATGACATCTCCTACATAACCACAGTATAATTTCAGGTGGCCATCTAATATCCTTTACTGCAAAAGAAAAGAAAATTTCTTGGTCCCGGATCCAATCCGGGATGAGACATCCCATTTAGTTGTCTCTTTAGTCTCTGAATCTGGCACGGTTCCCTAGTCTTTGTCTTTGAGGATCTTGATATTTTTGAAGAGCACAGAACATGTTTTCCATAGAGTATGCCTCAACCTGGGTTTGCCTGATGTTTCCCATCAGACGCAGGCTACACATTTTTGGCAGGAATACCACAGCAGTGATGTTGTATCCTTTTCAGTCCATCATATCAGGAGGCATATGATTCCTATCTGTCCCATTATTAATGATGTTAATTTTTTTTTTTAAGATTTGCCCTGAGCTAACATCTGTTGCCAATCTGCTTCTTTAAAGTTTTCTCCTCCAAGCCCCAGCATGGTTGTAGATCCCAATTCTAAGTCCTTCCAGTCCTTCTGTGGGAGCTGCTGCCACGGCACGACAACTGACAGATGGGTGGTTTGGTTCCAGAACCTGGAAACAAACCAGGCCGCCAAAGTGGAAGAGCGCGCAACTTTAACCACTAGACCATCAGGGCTGGCTCACTAGGGATGTTAATTTGGATCACTTGTTTAAGGTTTTGTATACCAGGTCTCTCCACTGTACGATTACTATTTTTCCCTTTGTAACTGGTAAGTATCTTGGGGGAGGGTATATTGAGACTATGTAAATATCCTGTTTCTCATCAGATATTAATTAACTCACTCAATTTTAGTACACACTGATGATTCTTGCCTGAAATAATTATTACCATGGTGGTTGTCAAGAGATCTCCTAATTTCATCATTCTTTCTGTCTTTATTAGTAGACATTCTAATGTAAGGCAAGGCTTTCCTTCTATCCATATATTTAAGTATCCATATATTTATTTATACCACTACAGACTCTTGGATTATTTTATTCTGTTATAATCAGTTATCGTTATTTATTTTAATATTCAAATTATCTCAGACTTGGACACCAAGGGGCCCTAAAGGTTGGCTTCTGTGTCTTTTTGCCATATCGCCATCATTCTTTAAGCACGTCCTTATCTTTCTGGCAGGGCAAAATGTTCTAGACTCATCTTGTACTTTCCCAGTCCCAGCCCTGAACCAGCCATTTCACCAAGGAGTTCTGGATCTTTTTAATGGAGAACGGTATTTAGAAGCCAAGATCTAGGCATTAGATATTCTCATTGTTCATTGAGGAATCATCCTTTTTAGGCCTTCTTTGTGGACACAGCAGGAAAATATAGACATGTATATATACACACATCTCATTTCTACATCTATCTATATTAAGATGCATGGGTTTATATTTATATCTGTCATTCCAATCCAATTCTTACAGAGTTTATTCTACTCTCTCCCCTTTCTATATTTCTAAAATCCCTTCTCTGACAGTAAGAAACCTGGCTCCCATTATTGTCAATATATTAATTTATTTGCCCAACTCTAGACTACACATTAAGGTGGTTTCAGAATTGTTAGCCCACACCACACTGAAAAACAAACCTCCTAATTAGAGTTTAATATTTGTTTGTAGCTCTTTTTGTCTTTAGCCTGTGTTCAAGGACTACTGAGATTAAGACTTCTTCCCTCCTTTTCCCTCTTCAATACAGTGATTTATTGGAAATATAGATTAATTTAGTTTCGGTTTGAATACTCATTTTGCTTTTCCTTCATCTTCCCTTGTTGATTTTATTTTTTTGAACACATAAAATGCTAACATAGTTCCAAAAGTCAAAATTATACAAAAAGGTATATGTGGAGAAACGCCTCCCTCCGTTCCTTTGACCTCATTCCCAATCTCCCCTCCGTTCCCCTCTCTTCTGCTGTAGGTAACCCAGCTCATTAGCTGCTGATTTCTCTTTTTTTTTTTTAAAAGACTGGCACCTGAGCTAACATCTGTTGCCAATCTTTTTTTTTTTTCCTTCTTCTCCTTCTCCCCAAAGCCCCCCAGTGCATAGCTGTATATTCTAATTGTAGGTCCTCTGGTTGTGGCATGTGGGACACCGCCTCAGCATGGGCTGATAAGTGGTGCCATGTCCGTGCCCAGGATCCGAAGCAGGGAAACCCTGGGCTGCTGAAGCGGAGAGTGTGAACTTAACCACTCGGCCATGGGGCCGGCCCCTGATTCATCATGTTTGTATCTTACTTTTGTGTGAATTGTGTATTCATATCTTCTATTTTTCTACTAGACTTTTTGTCCCTATTTCCTTAATTTTTAAGATTTCTTTGTGTATTGGGAATATTGGCCCTTCGCTTGCAAATTTTTTCTCTGTCAGTTGTTTTTTGACCTTGGTAAATAGCGTTTTCCAATAGTTTCGAAAAAGTTTTTTGGCCAAGCAAGTCTTTTTACTTTTATGTGGTAAAACTTACCAGTCTTTTATTGCACCTGAATTTTGATTCATGGTTGAAAAATCTTCCCTATGCCAGGTAATATTTTCTTCCACCAATTTTTGTGTATGGTGTGAAGTATGGTTCTAATTTATCTTTTTTCCAGTTGTCCCAGCACTATTTATGAAAAGTCCCAGTGATTTGAGATTACACTTTTATCAGATATTATATTTTCATATGTATTTGGGTCTTTCCTGGATTCTCTTTTCTATTTTACTGGTCTGTTTGTGTACTCTAGTGCCAGTACCGACTGTTTCAGTTAAGAAGACTTTATAGTATGCTTGAGTATCTGGTAGGGCCAGAATCCCTTGTAGCTTTTCTTTCTGTGTTGTCCTTGCTTCTCGTATGACCTTCAATTTGCTTGTCTAGCCGTTAAAAAGCTGGTGGTATTTTTGGGATTGTGTTCATATATAAATTAGCTTAGAGAGAACTAACAGCTTTACAATGTTGAGTTGTCACTGAGAACAAGGGATTATTTCCAGTTGTTCAAGTCTAATATTCTGTCTTTCAGCAGTGTTTTACAGATTTCCTGATATAAGTGTGCATATTTCTTATTAAGTTCACTAAGTATTTTATATTATATTTCTTACAAATAGAGTTTTATCTATCATTATCTTCTAACTGGTTACTGTTCATGTAAATGAAAGCTTTTTTTGAATGCTATTCATTCAAATGAAAGCTATTAATTTCTGCATATTAATTTTATATACTGCTACCTTACTCTAGTTTTCTATTTTATGCCTTTCATTTTTCTAAGTCTTTAATTTTATAATGAATTTATAATTTATTTTACAAAATAAATTTTACAATAGATTTTGTATGGTTTCCCAGGTGTACTATATTATCTGAAAACAGTTAGTTTTACTTCTCCAATTCTTACGCCTCTAATTGATTTCTCTTGTCTAATAACACTAATTGCACTAATAATACAAACATTAATTTGCATTAATACCTTGAGAGCCACGTTAGACAGTAGTGGAGGTAACAGATATGCTTGTCTTGTTCCTCATCATGATGTATTTGCCTTGTGTTTCTCCCATTGATTTTTTTTTTTTAATAAAGATTGGCACCTGAGCCAACAACTGTTGCCAATCTTTTTTTCTTTCTGCTTTTTCTCCCCAAATCCCCTTCAAGTACATAGTTGTATATTTTAGTTGTGGGTCCTTCTAGTTGTGCTATGTGGGACACCACCTCAACATGGCCTAATGAGTGATGCCACGTCCGTGCCCAGGATCCGAACCGGTGAAACCCTAGGTCACCAAAGCGGAGCACGTAAACTTAACCACTCTGCCACGGGGCTGGCCCCTCCCATTAAGGATTTAAAACTAAGAATATCTATTCATTCATTCATCCATCCACTCATCCCAATCTCTCTCTTCTTTTCTTTTTTAAAAATAACACCAATCTCTATATTTTTGAATATTTATAAATATTTATGTGAATATTTATAAATATTTTACATTTATATATATTATAAACCTTTTATGTTTATATTATTTTTCCGCCCCAGGAAAGGTATTGAATTCTAGCAAAAGCATTTTCAGCATCTCTGGATATGATTTTTCTCTTTAGATGTGTTAATGTGGTAGATTACATTAATGGCTTTCCTAACATCGAGTTGACGTTAAGTTTCTTTAATCCCATTTGGTCATGGTGTATCATTTTTACAATGTGGTACTGGATACAGAGATTTGTATTCTTATTTTCTTTGTCAATCTTCTTTATCTACTTTATCTTGTATATATATTTCTAAGCCATTCAAAACTAAATATTTAGTTGAATGAATTCATAATGTTTAACTAAAATATTTAACACTTTTGCAGTAATATTTGTAAGTGATATTGGTCTATGATTTTTCCTGTCTTCATCAAGTTTAGATATCAACATTGCACTTGCTTCATAGAAAGGATGCTCTTGAACAGTTTATGGAGCTGAGGACAATTTAATCTCTAAAGATTTGGTAAAATTCCCCTGTGAAGCCATCTGGGCCTGGTACTTTTTGTGGGGTAGTTCCTTGATAACTTGCTCTATTTCTCCTAAAGAAATGTTCCCATTTCTAACAGGTCAGTTTTGGTAAATTATATTTTTCTAGGAAGTTAACCATCTTTGTGAGTGAATCTCTACTTAGATACAAAGAAGTAAAATTTCTGAGTCACAGGGTATGTGCATTTATTAGGCATTGCCAAACTGTTCTCAAAAGATGTTCTATAAAAAAGAATCTATATCCCCACTAACAATATCTAAGATTTTCTATTTTCCCAAATTCTTGCCATCATTGGATATTTCCATTTTTTCAATTTTTAAAACTAATCACAATGAACCAAACCTCTTATAGAAAAAGTAGCATTTACAGATGGAAAACTGAGATGCTGAATTCCTGCTTCATGTTTAATGGCATTTCACGACTGAGTCCTAAACTACTAGTTTTGATGATATATGATAATTTGGTGGTGTTTATTTTGCAGGCCCAAAAGTGACTTGGGCACAGCAGCACATCTGGGGTACGTTGTTTTGGCTTCACCATAAAACTGCTCTAATTCAGTGTCAATATATCCTTAGACTACTGTGAAGGATGCTTTCAGAAACTCTGTTGCTGTTACAGTGTTGTTGAGTATTTTTTACAGTGTCTTTTATTAAATAGCTATTCAGGAAAAATTTCTGTCTAGTCTCAGTACAAGAAGCAATTATACTTACTCTTGAATATCTGGTTCATTTTTATTAATGGACAATGCTGTTGTTAGCTCCTTAATTATGCTAGATGTTGGAAAGCTAGGGCTAAACACCAGGTCTACCTCTAGCAAATGTATAGGACTTTAAAATAATAAATAAATAATAAATCTCTTAGAGAGATTTGTATTCTTATTTTCTTTGTCAATCTTCATCTACTTTATCTTGTATATATATTTCTAAGCCATTCAAAACTAAATATTTAGTTGAATGAATTCATAATGTTTAAGTAATTATGCTGCAACATCTATCCTATATTGTGTCAAAAATATTTATTCAAAGTTTCTATCCCAACATTCTTTCATACTTTCAAGGGCATATCTGATTAGAAACTATACTCTAGGATCACTTTCATGCTTACCTTTTCTGCTACTTCTCGCACAGACTGAACACTTGTCCCATACAGATGGTTGTTATACTGGCCAGCTTCAATGAATTTATGTTCTTGGATGTCTTTTTCCATCTGCTCTCTTGAAGTCACAAAATGATAGTCTCTTCCATCTACCTCATAATCTCGTTTTGGTCTAGTTGTATCTTTAATAGAAAAGAACGTAAATATTAACATAACAAATCCATTTTCTACTTAAATAATTGTTTTGTAAAATTCAACACAACAGAGATTAATTTAAATTTGAAAGGGGACGATAATGCCAACTGGAAGAATACTGATAAAGTAACAGTATAAACCATTAAAAAATGGTAATGTTTACTTTTACCATACACAGTGACAAAATGTTAGAATAATTAAGAATTTTTCTGTGGGTTACTCACGAGGAACACATGATCCAAATTTGTCGGGAAATTCTGAGATCAAGTCGTCATTTATCCTGTCTTTCATAGGTCCCAATATGATCACTGGTCGAGTATAATTAACTAAAAAGATAAACTGCATGTTAAATGGAAAAATACTCAACAAACATTAATTATTTTATTTCACTGGAGCACACAGTTTCCTGAATTGTTATGAAGAATTTCTTTTTTTTCTTTCTTCACCAATGATGCCTTACTTGCTAGTTTATAAACCTTTAATAAGATCTTAAACTTAAGTAATCTTTTGTTGGAAGTCATACACTTCATAATTCAACTATGTTAAATTCAGCATTTTAGCAGATGTTTCTACATGTTGCTAACATCATTGCACTGCAAATGAAAAAACACAGTACAGTGTTTACTGGTCATTTTTGCAGTGGAAATTATAGGGAAGCAGATCAAAGAAAGGCAAAAAAGAAACGGGGTATAAGAAGTGACATAATCACAGCAGTAATCTAGAAAGATGCTCTAACAGAAGTGTCTGCAGTGAACTGTAAGGGATCATGCCGGAAGCAGAGACTGGCAGTGAGACTCAGAATTAACATTGTGGTAGGAGGGATGAAAAGGAGGTTATAAATAAGAAAGACATGATAGAAGAATAAATAAGGCCTAGAAACTGACTGGATAAGGAAGATGAGGAACGATTAACATCAAAGATGCTTCCAAGATTTTGAACAAGGGTCATTGGAAGGATAGTGATGGTATGAACACTGTAAAGAAGCTGCTTAGGGAAAAAAATCACTGATATAAAATGACTAGATTCTAATATACTGTACGCGAAACCATGTTTCATAAAATACATATAGTAAATTCTACATATATACATATAGTAAAAAATAAAAATATAGTAAAATTCTAATATAACACTTCTTTTTGAGGTATGAGTTAGTCCTATTTTCCAAAATAAGATGTATATTTTTCTAGAAGATTGTAAAATATCAACAAGTTTCACAAACCTTCTTGTTGATTCACTGGTTCATAAGATAAGACATATTCTTCTTGACCACCTATTAGAAAGTTAAGACACAGATGAGAAAATCTATAAAGATAACTAATGCTAATTTAATTCTTTATACATAACATATAAATTACTAAGACTTTCCTGAGAAAATAGCAAAGATGTAGAAAAAGGTACTTCATAAATTATTTATGGCAAGATTTAGTAAAAAAAAAAAAAAGGTGGCAAATTATAAAGTCATAAAGATAAGTTCAATAAATGTAAAAACAAAATATATGTGCTATTTAATAAATATTTTTCTCTTATTCTGTTTTACAGATTATCAGTAGGTCTAATTAAAATCTTCCTTTGTGATTTTTTATTTAGAATTAAGAACTACTGAATCTAAAGATTAATACTTTATTGAGCAGTTCTACATATATGCAGATTAATTTACCACCATTAAGAATATGCTGCTTTTTTGGTCCCATGAGGTATAATATTTAACAGAGTATACACATATATATTTATTTCTATTTCACTCATTAAAAACTATTTCACTCATTAAAAAATTCACTGATTATTCTAATAATTCATTTATTCAATTTTAAAAAAGTAACATTTGAAGTGAGCCAAAAAAAGCTTTAGAGAAAACTAAATCCTTCCCTTCCAATAAAATGAGTCACAGAGATAGTAAAGGAGATAAAATATATTTTGTTTTGATCTTGAAAGCTCTTTAGAAGTTCAATTAAATCCTCTAAGATTAAATTAAAGGTGTAGAGCTTAAGAATATCCTAAATAAAAAGTCTACAAATTATACCTTGACTCAATGAAAAGAACTAAAAAAGAGTTAATTTTAGGAGTTCTTACACACACACACTTGTACACACACAGACACACACGCAGAAATGTGTAGACAATAAACTAGGAAGAAAGATTTTCTCCTTGATTATTGAGATTCTATAACAATCTTTTCACTAAATTTGTCATTGGTTTATATGACATGTATGTAGCTGTAGATCTTTGAAATTCATGTATTAGCAAAAATATTTATTTCCCGCTTTAAAAGTGTATTTTATTGTTTTCAAGTTTGTCATAATGTATAAAATATATATTTATAAGCTGCTTTTTAAAGTTCTGTATGTAAAACAAGGTTTACATATTAGCAAAAACATGCATTTTGAATACGCCAGACTTAATAATCCATGCAAATGGTGAGACAGACAGTATATACTTTCATTGCCTCTTTTTAGTCCAGAAAGCTACTCAACTACTCTATGGTGAGTTCTGATTATAAGTTAATAAAATGCTAGAATGCAAGGAATTACATTTTCACACCAAAGAAAGAAAATCTAACTATTATGCAGAAAAAATAATCAAATGAATGAGGGTTAAAAGTATATATTGTCAACATGAAAAATATTAGAGACTGATAGTAAGAGGATGGACCTTTTGAGCAGCCATTCTCATCTGTAATCAAGATTACTTTCATATTAGACGGCAGTAAAAAAAAAAAAAAAGTTAGAAAAGCAATTTTAATTTTTAAGGTGCTACAACTGATAATATTCACATACTCTCCCCTCCTCCCATGCCCAATCTGTTTAAAAACTTCACATGCTTGTACAGTTCACTTAATAATATACCAAGAATGTAAGACAAGAGACCAAAAAAGAAATCAGTATTATTATTTGAGCAACTGTTGAAAATTTTTCCTTCATCATTTCTTATGTTCACCAAAAGTTGGTGACAAACAATAACTTGACCCAGACCAGTACTGGTGACACAGAATAAAAAAAGAAATAAAGCGAATTATAATTTAGCATTACTGAAAAATATTTTAATGCTCATGTTAAACACAGAATTACTAAAGAAAATGCCAAAATACAAGTTTACCCCTCCTTAACTAGATATCTACTTCTTACAAAAGATACAGACACACACACATATACTGTATACACAAATAGCACTGCTCGTAAAAAAGATTTTAGTACTTTATTAAAATTTTGGAAATTAACTTGTGCACATATAGTCTAATTTTATTTAAGTACCGAATTTTACTTGGCTCTCCTGATTTTAAAACATTCAGCATATAATTTTCAGTTTTTAGAAAACACCACTAAGAGAAAAAACCCCCGAAGAATTCATATATTACTTGAGATTACAAAAGAACAAGTAACTTAAAACACTTACGGTAACTACTTTCACTATCGCTGGCATTAGAAGTTACATGCTCTGAAATTGCAGGACAATGGAAAAAAATAAAACGTTGTCATGAGTTTAAAAAAAGCAAATTATCAAAATAAGCACTAGGTGACAATACAAAATGTTGAGATATAAACCACACAAACCTGGAGAATTTTTAAAAAGTATTTTTGATTTTCTTTGAAGAGTTTAACTTTTTGAAATAAACAAACATGAATTAACAAGGAAAAACACCCTGCAATTAAGGACAATACTTCATTTTTGTACAACATGGTTTATGAACAAAACCTAGATTAGAAATAGCAAGTAGAATATGACAAAGAGGGCAAAGTGATTCTAATTAGTCCAAGTGTACATAAAACTCAAAAAGAGAAAATGTAGTTGGCACCATTTAATTTAGTTTATGAAGCAGTAATGACTAATAAAGGAGACAAGTTATTTGAGCAAACGGATACTCATTTTAATGAAGGGATGTCTTTTTAAAAAATAAAGGATCTTGCTTTTAGTTCAGCTTCTTTCTTGTTCCTGAAATGAAAATCCATGATCAGAAAATTCTGAGATCATACAGATAAAGCATTTTAGATGTCATAGATTCAGATGCTTCAAAAAAAGTCTAATGGAAGGGAACTCTAGAAGGTGGGAGTGTATTTTAAAATAGACTAATATTTCTGAGAAACCGTGCTTTGATAAGACTGACAATGGCTGCTTTGCAAACCAAAAAAGATAAAGCAAATACACCCAGTCATAAATTGCCTGGCCCTCCTCGAAAGTGACTCCATTTCATAACTTGATTGTTCAGTAAACACCAGGCACTCTTCTCACGTAAATATAAGCACAGGCATTCTCTCAATAAATGTCTCCTTTGAATAAAAAAAAAGTAATTTTATTTATAAAAACTAAAAAACAAAATTTCCCTGGGAGAGAGGGAAATCTAAACTTATGTCAGTCAAAGAAAATACTTTTTTTAAAGGATAAGGGAAAAGTTTGAGAAGTATCTGCTGGACTATATTATATAGCCCAGAGAGCCTCCTGAAATCCTACTGAAAAGCTCAGAGAACGGTAGAACGTAACATTTCATATAAAGATAACGGTTGTTGAGTTGTTGTCATAGTGATAAGTAAGTGTCTTAGTCTAACCTGCAAAGATGAGATATAAGTATCTTAATCACGATTATGCATATTTTAAATAAAGCAGGGATATTAAAAATTATAAGATTGAATAATATATGACAAGCACATGTAAAATGGTGGTTTTTAAAAGTTTATATTTAAAAATTTCTTCCCATGTTACCAAATGAACTTCAAAACCATCATTTTAAACTGTTGTATAATATTCTATTGGACTGATAGATCACGATTTACCTTACTACCTATTATTTAAAACATTTTAGTTCAATTTGCTTTCAATTGTTTTTCACAAACACCAACAAACTATTATGAATGCCTTCATTTATATAGCTTTTTACCTTTTGTCCTATTTCCTTAAAATTCATTCCCAGAGCAGGAATGCTACATTAAAAAAAAGTTTTTAAATAAATATTAGGATTAGTATTACAGTCACCAACCTCTAAAAGATAATCTAAAAGAAAGAAACATTAGTTACTGCAATGGAGTGAGCGAGGGGGAGAGTAGGTGGCAGTACAAAGGAAACAAAATTTACCGTGAGGTGACAATTGCAGAAGGGGGGTAAATGAGTACTTGTGAGGTTTATTTTACTATTCTTCTACTGTTGAATATGTCTGACACATTATATAATAAAAAGTTAAAGTTATTACAATCTCTTTTCTGAAGATTTCTCCTACTCATCTTGAGTTCCCTAAGATTACCAACAACTATTAAGCAATCAAATTCTTCAAGTTCTTTCGGAATCCTTTTCTATCACAATAAAATCTAGCCACTTGAAGTATGGCCCTTGGAATAGCCATCGTCAATGCTTGGGAGCTTATTAGAAAGGTAAAATGCTTTTTTCCTGATGATTAAAAATAATCTTTTTTTAAGGCACTTCATCAAAGAAGATATTCAAATATCCAATAAACACAAAAAAAGGTGTTCAAGTTTATTACTTATCAGGGAAATGCAAATTAAAACCACAATGGACAACTCTACCATCCATCAGAATGGCTAAAATGAAAAAAAACAAACACAAAACAGATACACTAAGCATAGAGAAGAATATGTAGCAACTGGAACTCATATACTACTGGGAGTGGGTAGGGATGGGTAAATTGGTAGAACCACTTTGGAAAACTACATGGAAGAACCTACTGAAGCTGAACACATGTCCGTATCCATGACCCAGCAATTCCTTTCCTATTTCCCCCAAAAGAAAGGCCTATCTATGTTCACCAAAAAACATACACAAGAATGTTTAAGGCAACACTATTCAAACTAGCCCTAAATATGTTTATTTCCAAATCTGAGACAATATATGTACAGTTTCCTATTTTACTTTTTTCACTTATATTGTGCATGATCGTTTTTCCATCCCCATCACAGCATGGCTTGACAAGTGGTGCGTAGGTCCAGACCTGGGATCCAAACCAGTGAACCCTGGGCCGCGGAAGTGGAAGGCATGAACTTAACTGCTGCACCACTGGGCCAGCCGCCCCAGTCTCATCTTTCTAATCAAACATTTCTTCCTGAGAAGGTATCATATCTTTTCTCTTCGTTTTCCCTAAATTCTACACACCGTCAATCTCAAGCAATACTACTGTTCTTACACTTATTCTTGATATAAATGAAAATAAGTCTGGTTTTGGCATTTAAGAGCTCTGCACAGCTCTGCTTAAATAAGCCTTTAAGATGAGAAGAAAGAAAAGAGATATGTAATGGGAAACCTATGTGCCTAACTGAGGAAGTTTTTGAGGTGTTCTACAAAATGGAAAGCTATAAAAATTGAGCTGCACACAAAAGACAGGTACAAACCTTGTCTGAAACTCTGTGTCATGATTTCACTTCTGAATACCTTATATAGCTCCTTCTGAACTATATTTCCTTTTAGTCTCTGTTGAAGGAATCTTACCCAGATTTTTTTCCTGAGCTTTTTCAAAATTGCCTTCTATAGCATACAAGCTGCACAGGTTTCCATTTCTAGCTTTTCACAAGCTACGATGATTAGTTGCATTTTCCAGATTTCAATTTTACTCTAATTAGTTCTATTAGTCAAAATCAGGTCTGGAAAGGCAATTTTTCTCATTTGTAATATTTCCTTTACTGTCACTAATGCGTCCTTTACTCTCAACAGGGCAAATCAATAATTTATTTGATTCTCTTCTTTGTAGAATCATTGAATTCACGTCTATGAAAAGTATTCTAGGATATCACTTTTGTTTCTCTCTCTGCTCTTCAATTAAAAACTTTATTTTCTCATAGGTTGTGTGAAATTACATGCAGATGTACATCTTTCTTGATATTCAGTGTTATTCCACATCTCTTCAACAGGTTTGGTTCTCTGGAATGATTTACCCTTCTGTTCCCAGTCCCTTCATGATTCCTATTCCAAAAAGCCTTGATGGATACCAATATGAGGTCACATTTATTTTCTTATATTAAAATCTCACAGGATTTTGCTTAGTTTATTCTTTGTATTCTGAACTTTAGAATCTATAACTGATGCCAAAAATAATGTCCCTGACACACCCCTCTTTCCAGCATTTTCTATTGTATAATAAGGGGCACCTGGTCACCTGCCAGTCATCTGTTTTATATGATAACCTCCATATCCAGTTTTAGAATTTTCATTATATTTTTCTGTCTTCCTCAACATTAAAAAAAAAATCTTCTTGATTTGATCATCAAGTTATCAGGTGAATAAATTCTTTCAGTTCCTGTGAGATGAACCACAGAAACCTATCATTCAAGGGATCTTCAGTCACTATCTAGAAAATTAAAACCTTTTCTAAATGCCGTTGTCTGGTAATCAGCCACCATTTTTCATTTGTTTCTCTTCCCAAGTCTCAAACCTCAATTAAAATGAGAGATGAAAACATGATGTGGTTAAGGTGTAATTACCATCCATCATAACACTATCAATATGGGAATTAAATTCTTCATTTAGTTACTTTTTCAATGAGTTTTCCACAGATCTCTGATGACTCAACAGATAATAAAAACCCGTGGGTCCATTTGCTGATCCATACCACCTCTAAAATATGTTATCATTCTCAGAATAAATTCTATAGCATTAAGAATCTGTGGAAATATTTTCCAGTTTTGAAGATTTTTACTGATACTTTTTCCCAAAGGTAAGAGATTTAAAAAGGGTGCCATTAGTGATAGTAAATTTGTGGCTCTTGCCAAATCCTAAAAAGGTAGATGCAAAAATAAAGTGTGTCTAATAGAAATAATTACATATAAAGCAGCATACTTCCTCTTCAATCTACTACAAACCTTAATCATTACGGTTGATAAAAAGGTAAATATCTATAGTTCAGATTAAAATTTCAGTATAAAATTAGCATAAATCAGGAAAAAATCTTCTTTGAAATTTAATCTTTATTAATATAGATCTTAGAAAGTTACAAGCATTGGCTATATCCTTAATGAATTATAAAGAAATGTTTTCAAAATGTTTAGTAATCCAAATGGAAAGAACTATCTAGAAAAAAACTTCAGCCTAAAAGATCACTTCTGAGTCACTGTCACCTAAAATAGTAATATTTGGTAAAATCTCACATTTAATCAATTTGAAAACATCAAAATTTAAAATGTTGTTTGATAAAATGACTTCTTGTTTCATTCATCTATTCCAACATTTATTGAGTTACTCCTATATATTAGACTCTATAGCAAGCTTCATCTGATTAAACACTAGCTAGAAAATTAAACAAGAACAATACAACAACTGAAAACAGAGACAACACCCTGGTGAAAGGAAAAAAAAGGATAAAACAAAGGATAATCTTGTAATTCTTTTCATAACTTTCAACCTCTTTAAAAAGAGATATCCAATTTTTCCCCTACATAGTCTGCTACTTGAACTTGAGGTCCATAATTCTCTAATATTTAAGATCCATTGTGTTTTACAGTTTCAAATTATACCATGTTTCTAACAGAATCAATTTTAACTTGTTTTAACAAAAAAAGGGGGGACATAAAACTGCAAGGAAGATTTTCTACATTCTAATAATGAGAGCAGGTAGTCTAAAATTTTTTTTAAAAAAATCTTTATATTTAAAATATCCCTAGCAAAAGTAATTGCCCTAAAAATTACAAAAAGGAAAATGTAATTATGAGCAGAGAGGTTTTCAAATGACATGTGAAAAATGGAGCATAAGAAAAACAAAAGGTGTGTATTATAGAAATAAAAATCCCAAGCATATTATTAACATAAAAAGTCTAAAAGCAGTCTAAATCATATACCTCCTCATGCCAGAAGGGCACTACCATGAATCTCAAAAGGTATCTGAAAAAGGTAGGTCTGTAGATGGAGGTTAAAAAATAACTTGGGAGTATTTTGATAACTTACTCAGGCCTTTTGATCCCATGTCGTCAGGGATCTCCTGTAGAGAGTAGTTCCCAGAGAGCAAGCAATAAAAAGATAATCAAAGAAAATAGTTGTCAGTAATGCATAAAATTGGTGCTACAATAAGAGACAGTTCCAAGACCATTACAGGTGTACATATCTTAGAGCATTTTTGTAGATTTCTGAAAGTTTGAGGTAAGCTAGCTGCTAAATGTAACCTAAAAAAGAATGAAAGTTCTATCTTAGAGGCTGATTAGGGTAAAGCAGCAAAATTTGAGACTATTTCTTGCTATTTTAAAAGTAAAATTCAGATTGTCTACATACAGCCATGTACCGCATGACGACGCTTTGGTCAATGACAAACTGCACATACAACGGTGGTCCCATAAGATTAGTACCTGTAGCCCAGGTGTGTATAGACTATACTATCTAGGTTTGTGTAAGTACACTCTATGATGTTCTCACAAAGAAATCAGCTAACGATGCATTTCTCAGAATGTATCCCCATCATTAAGTGATGCATGGCTGTAATGAAGAAATAGGATAAAATGAAATTATTCCAGAAGATCTACTATCAAAGACTGACAATGCTATTCCTAGAAATCAATAAGCAGCTTCTCAGGTATCCATGTTTTTCCTTTAAAATAATCTTTGAGAGTATGCTAAGTGTTTCTTATAAGAACGCTTACATCAAATAATACTATTTTAATATACAGCTTAAAAATACTGCTTACTTTAAGTTAGGAATTCCTAAGGTACCAGAAAAAGTTAAGATTGGTATACAAATTAACTTATGCCTATTAAATTGCCCCTGATTAAGACAATTCGTAACCTGTTGCAGCTCTTGAAACTGTCTCCATGGTAACAACCAACTGCAGGGCAGTAGGTCCCTCTATGTCTGTTTTCAGTTGACCACTGGATCCACATACTTACGGTCAGCATCACTTGTTTCCTGCTCACTCTGGTCCTTGTTCTTGTAGAAGGGGAATTTTCGGGAAAAGAGGTTCTTTTTACGCTTGTCATTGACTGACTGCTGAAGAAGAGAAGGAGGGGCAAAACAAAGGGATGTCTACTGTCTGTGTGTACAAAGGCCCAGCCTAGTAGCTCTGTGGAAGCTGACTCTTGTGACCACACTGTGCAGTTTGTATAGGAATTTCACTTGAAACAAATATAAAGTGAATTTCTAATTTTAACATTTTATAACGGAAAATACTGAAAAATTTAGAGTATAATTCAGTAATATCTAAAAATAAAGAATAAGTGCTACTTGATAAAAAGAGGGAAGAGTAAGTTAGATTAGCTACTACTACAGTATAAACCAAGCTAACATCTACTGATACCAATCCCCATCTTTCTAGATTTCCAGGTACTAGGTGCTGTATAGCAAAAGTTATTTTAAATGTTACTCTTAGCCATTCAAATATTTTATTTATTTATTTTTTTGAGGAAGATTAGCCCTGAGCTAACATCTGCTGCCAATCCTCTTCTTTTTGCTGAGGAAGACTGGCCCTGAGCTAACATCCATGCCCATCTTTCTCTCCTTTGTATGTGGGACGCCTACCACAGCATGGCTTGCCAAGTGGTGCCATATCCGCACCTGGGATCTGAACTAGCGAATCCTGGCCGCTGAAGCGGAACGTGTGCACTTAACTACTGTGCTGGCCCCTGTTCAAACATTTTTTACGCATTAGATAATAATCTTTATTTTCCTTTGGTTTGAGCACATTTTTCTCCTTTTTCTTTCTTTGTGTACGGCTCCAAAGAACTAACAAAAAAGCCACTATTAAAAAAGAAAATCAGGGGCCAGCCCGGTGGTGCAGCAGTTAAGTTTGCACGTTCTGCTTCGGTGGCCCGGGGTTCGCCGGTTTGCATCCTGGGTGTGGACATGGCACCGCTTGGCAAGCCATGCTGTGCAGGCGTCCCACATATAAAGGAGAGGAAGAGGGGCACAAATGTTAGCTCAGGGCCAGTCTTCCTCAGCAAAAAGAGGATGATCAGCTGCAGATGTTAGCTCAGGGCTAATCTTCTTCAAAAAAAAAAAAGAAAAAGAAAAAGAGAAAGAAAACCAAAACAATTGAGAAAGTTGCCAGTGCTGAATATTTAAAAACAAACAAAAATCTCATTTGTTTTTTTTGGAAGAGAAAAAAAGACAACTAAATGCTTATGGCATGAATCAGAAAATGGGACAAAACTAAGACAGGTCCATCAAAAACACACACAGTCCAGCAAAAGATTTATCAATGCTATCTAACCAAGGAAGAAGAGTCAGAAATCTCCTGGCCAACTTGAATGCAATTACAGTTGATTTGTTTGTCTTTAAGCTTTACCATACTTATCTACTTAAAAAAGTATATATAAATAAAATAGAACCAGATTCAATCCATTGGCACCATGTCCTGAATAGGGAATAAAAAGTTTGGTGGCCAGGAGCAAGTCCTGTGGCACAGTGGGTAAGTCTGTCACACTCTGCTTCAGAAGCCTGGGTTTGTGGGTTTGGATCCTGGGTGCAGACCTACACCACTCACTAGCCATGCTGTGGCAGCAACCTTCATATAAAGTGGAGAAAGACTGGCACAGATGTTAGTTCAGGCCAGTCTTCCTCAAGCAACAAAAGAGGAGGACTGGCAACAGATGTTTGCTCAGAGCTAACCTTCCTCAGAAAAAAAAAAGTTTGGTGCCCATAAAAGCCAAAAAGGGCAATTAATATTCTAATAGTTTATACATAATTGCTATGAGGGAGATGCAGAGCTGACTTGATGTCTTTATTGCACACATGTTGGAAATAAGTTTTTCCCCTTTGTGAATGTCCTATTTGCGCATTCATAGATTTAAAAGCAGGTAGCACAAAGAAAGATGAGGCCACTAAAGAGGAACGGTTTCTTTTATAATTTCTGTCACAGGCATCCATGTCTTGAAGAAAACGGCTTTACCTACTAGTGACACTGTAATTTATTATTATTATTACTGTTATTATTATTTTGAAGCAGCAACAATATAAGATAAAAATAATTTTGTTGTGATTTTTCTTGAGTTTATCCATGTCATAGACGCTTCTGATGCGGATAAACATCATTTTGCAGTATATCGACACTAGGCAGTATGTTTTTGGCATGCCTATATTTAAGTGTGTGATGCCAGGTGATTAAGGTGCTGAAGTAGATTAAAGTGACTTTTAGCTCAAATTCTATTACTTGAAAGGATTTATTTTGGTAAGAATCCTTATAAAAACAAGATTAAATTTTAATTTTTACCTTTTCATATCAACAATTCAGGATTAATAAATTCATAGTTACTAGTCAGACAGATTTTCTTGATTCCAAGCTTAAAATCTGAAGGATCTGATGACTCTAAGCAGAAGTCAAAAATCAAGTTGATGAGAAAAAAATATCGTGGCAAAATGTGGGTTTCTAACTTTTGTAAACTGTCAAGCAGCATTATTTGAATAAAAATATTTGCTTGAATTCAAATTTTAGAAAAAAGAAAGAGAAGAAAAGTTTCAATAGAGAAAAATTTATGGTAATCTAATTTAGGGAAGGACTAAATCTTTTTGTTTGTGACAATCACTGGTTTTGAATTTAGTAATAAGTTTTATGATATCTGATAAAACTAATGTTTTTAATAAAAGACTGTTTACCCCTCTTACTGCATATTTAGTGGTCAGAGTCAGTTTCACAGCAAACAACCAAAAGAAACATGAAGTTTAAAATGTTTTTATTTTTGATATCTTTGCACTTAGCCGAAATGAGATATCATAAAGATATCATAATAGAAGACAGAAAGAAATGCCTGTTAGTGAAGAAATGTATTAAGTGTATTACATTTAACATCCTCCAGGTGAAGAATTTATTAAAAGCGGAAATAGCACAAGCAAACAAGACTAAAATGTGTAAGGAAAACACAAACTGAAGAAACATATTACCCTCCAGTTTCTCTAAATTTTCCATACTAAATACACTGTTTAATTACTTAGTTATTAATGCTATAGTGCAAGAGAGATAGACTGTAATAAATATAAGAAATGAGAAAGTACCACAAATTCATGATAATATATAAAATATCTAAATATATAATTTCCATATGTAGTATCTGAAAACAGCTAAATGAATGTTAAAAATGTTAATGAGAAACCGAAATGTTACAAGTCTGTAGTGGGAATAAAGTCCATAAACCACCATGCAAGGAAAGGAAAAGAAAAACTTAGAATGGGAAATGGTATCACAGAAAGAAATGCAGTTCTGTATCAATGGCAAGCGTATTTTTACCCCACTCAGTATCATGCAAACTTTTGGTGCTGTGTTAGAACACAGTGACCGTGTAAAGTTGGTTACAGTCAACAAACAAGACTAAGATTTAAATATGTCGTTAATTCAGTTAACTTCTTACAGTATGAAAGAAAAGTCACAACATGCAGCCTGTTTTTCAATATACTGACAGTGCATTTTTACTAAATTATTTTTTAAAGACATATATAAAACAAGCACAAAAAGCATTGTATATATTTCAAATCTTGAGCGTTTACTTGGGATATTTTTCCTGCGAAAAATTTACATTTTAAATATCACTTCAGATCACACTATATAATTTTGCATTTTTTGAAAACTACAAGTTAATTTTAATGGAATTTATCATTTCCAAAATAACTGAATACATTATACAGTTCACTCAGATTTAATTTCTTCGATCAAGGATATTTCTTATCTTCTAAATTTTAAAGCCTTAAGTTTGAGTGCTTAGTGATATCAGAGATGTATCAGAGGGCTGGGTAATTTATTTGCTGAGTTAATGTTCCACATTCATTTGATATATGATCAAAAGATGTATAGAACTTTTGCTTTAGATTAAAAAAACTCTAAAACAAAACATTGATACGAATAGTATTTCAAAACAACACGTGTTCAGCTCTTTCTTCATGCTTACTGCTAGAATATTCCATTGCAGGTTAATTCCACACATAGTACAGGATGAAGCCTGTAATCTTTTTCATCTACTGAGATCTATTAGATTCAAGCAGGACTTAAAGTAAATGAAAAAAAAACATGTCTAAAATATATATGACAGAATTTTGATTCATTTCTTGATCATGTACAAACTCCTCTTCTCACTGTCCCTTTCTTTATGCCCTCAAAATAAAAATTCATAGTGATTCAAACATTTAAACCATGGACTCTATTAATAAATTATATTAGGAATAAAGTGCGGGAGAGAACAAGGAAATTTCCAGGAATTCACTTGAAAAAACGTGTAAACTTACATTATGACCTAGATAATAATTTTTGGGGACCTATTTTCTCAGCAGATTCATTATACATCAGCTATCATGGTTAATACTGGGGACACAAGTTTCTAATTGGACATCTGAATGATGGTTGAATTCATTTCATTTATAAAAAGAACTTTGACCAAAAGTACGTTGTTAAGACTATATCAAATGACAGTTTTGATAATTTGGAAAGGTCTGTGAAATGGGTGTTTTAACTTAAGAAATTGTTTACTTTAGCATCTACTATTGGAAAGCATCAACGCAAGAGCTGTTGACAGTTAATTCTTACGGCAAAATCCTTCTCATTTAATAATGTAGCTCAAATAAGAATTATCAAAAGGCCTATTATCCTCAATTATTAATTTCTAGAAAGAAGAGATTTCATATACTCACCCCTTTATCTCCTCTTGTTTTAGAATTGAATTTCACTGTTTTTAATCGGGCTCGTTCTTTCTTCTCAACCCTGTCAAAGTATAGAATATTATTTTTTAAGTATACCAAACATATCTGAGGGTCTAACTAGAAATCATCAGAACTGATATTTTAATAAAGAGCATCTTTATATTCTAAAACCTTCAGAAGCCATCTAGGTTTGCACCCCAAAATTAATTAGAATTTCTGAAAAATGAAATCCAAGGTTCATTTTATTATGAAACAAAACCACTTGTGAAGTATCAAAATACAGTACAAATATGTGCATTTATATATGCACTCACTTCCATAATTATACTGAAAATATTATGAGGCATCACTTCTGACTTTAGCTATTTTCTAGGTTTTCTGTTTGTTTTCTTGTTTAACATGAGCTCAGGATGGAACACATATGCCAAAAATAAGAGAAAGATGTTAGCAATTGTTGAAAGTAGATGAAAGGTCAGTGGGTGGTCCTTGTACACCCAAAGTGTTACCTATTCAAGATCAGCAAGCAAACAAAACTACAACAAACCAAATGTTTCATGTAGATTGTAACACCAAAATGAATCTTGCAAAATTTCATGTAAATTAAGCTTTTATAAATCCTTGATTTCAACATAGCAATTATGTGAGTATATAGCAGGAAAACCTACCAAAAGCGCCTATGAATAAATGCATTTTCTTTATGTTTTCTTTATTATCTAGCTAGATAGTTTTACTATGGGTAGAAAAGAATCTCAGCAGTCATGGATTTAAAACTTATGTTTTTTACTATTTCAGAGCAATCTCGAGGGTCCATGACATGAATAATTGATGTATAATTTTGCCTAGGCACTTACTGAAGGTACTGCAAAACTAACATTTACTGAGTGAACATTTACAACTCAAAATGGCTTTGTTTTCTAACCATAATCTTGTGCACTAAACAGGTGAGTGACTTAAATTGTTTATTTGCAAATACTGCTCCTGAAAGAAATGTAAGAATTGTAGGAACCACAATTTCTTTTTCTATTATCAGAGGTAAAGAGGTCTAAGAAGGAGATAGTTCTACTTGAGAAAATGTAAGCTTTGAATACATTCAAGAATGAAATGGCATAATTAGTTATGGTTTCATACTGTACTTTATTGGAGAAAAATTATATTCCATAATGTTATTCATGAATTCAGGGATTTTTAGAGGTCTCAGATGTATTTCTTACATCACTCCTGGCTTTAAAATCCACCTTAGAGAATTTTTATACGAAACAAAAAAAATCTCTCTCCACCAAAGTCAGCTGTATTTTTCATTTGTTGCAAACAAACATGAAGCCTTTGCAAGATATGAGGCTCCAAGGGATAAGACAATTTTTAAGAACTCTGACCTTCACATTTAAGATGTGAGGTTTCTACTGACTCAACAAGGCACAGAGGAAGTATTTCTGAATTTAAAGCAGACTATGTTCTATTCCAGGAAAAAAGTTATGCTGAGGGCTGCAGTGCTAAAAGAGGAGTTGCCACCAAATATAAGATCTAGCCAAATAGTTGGATCTTGCTAAATATATGCATCTACCACCAACAGTCATAAAACTCAAAGCCACAATTACAAATCTTGGTAATACTTTAAATACTTTAACATGCCTACTCTTCAACTTCTACAAACAGATATACAGATACATACAAATGTATATAGGTAGAAGTCTATAAACAGGTATATGATTTGGCATACTTATCAATTATGGAGACTCAACAAAATAAGTATAAATCCAACTCATTAATGAGAGCAAGTTTATTACATCATAAGCTTGATGTGAAGTGAATTAACCAGCTATAATAAACAGTTATGTCTCATTAACAATTTTTGCTGGCTATCTTAAAACTTAAAAGGACTTTTAAGGCAATGATTTAAACGACTCAGATCTCATAAATAAGCTATTTTGGGGGAATTATGAACTGACGTTATAATACCTTTTCCACAAAAGTAGGGACATTCAACAGCATCTCACAGACCTTAGAAGGGGTTGTCTAAGCTGGGATCATCCTTTTTAAAGATAATCTGCACTTAACCACTTTTACCACTAGATGGTAAGTAGGTACCAACAAATCACTATAATAAACGGTTAACAGTGAAGAAGAAAGACCAGTGAATGCACCAATACTCCTAAAGTAAGTTAAAAAAAAAAAAAAAGAGAGATGTGAAGCATATTACCAGATTTATGTCTAAAAATTCTGCATCGTTTCATCATTTATTTACAACGCTTTCATTTTTTAAGTCTAAAGGAGGCAACTCACACAATCAAAATCTCCGAAAATTTAGGTTTTATCACTAGCTACACGGGAAAACTACAGAAAGTTTTAATTCTCTCTCCCCACTAGTTTAGATACATGGCAAAGTGACTTAAATCATACTTATTTTGTTTTTAGCAACTAATAAGAACTTTAGAGAAATTTCTGTTTGGGGGCATCATATTCTCTAGTTATGTCACTGGTAACAGTATAAGGTGAATAAAATTAAATGACTGTGAAACACAATATGAAAAACCAAGCAGAAAATCACCAACTCAGTCAAAGAAATTGACAGGAAAAACAATTATTTATAATGCCCAACTTTCAAGTGGCAAGACTGTAACAGACTTATATTTACCTGCGTTTACTGGGAATCACCCCAACTTCATCACTCTCACCGTCTGGTGTAACCTGCCTGGCTTGCCACCATTCATCGTCAGAAGCATTAATAACATGGAGGATATCTCCAAATTTGAAGTTCAGCCCCTGACTGGGAAGGCCACTGTCTTTAGTCTTGTCATAATCAAAAAGGGCTCTGGATTAAGAAGAAAAAAGTCCGTAATTATTAGTTATAAAGGTATTATCAATACTAAATAAACATAGGATTCTGAAAGTATATATAATCTGAGTACATAATTAAACAATATACCATGGTAAGCAAAATAAGGCCAAGCTCGATCTTGTACTATATACAAGACGACGACGAGACAAAAAAGAAATAGCACGATTAACTTGTTATGGTAATAGTTTGTTACTAGGTATACTACCTTATTTCTCTCAACGCTGTATAAGAAATTTCAAAAATGCTTTTAGTATGATCCAATGGCAACCTATATTGAATTCTAAAATGAAGACAAATCTAGAGAGGTGCTCTAAATTAATAAACAAAAAGTAAATATTAAGAGGTACTCTTCTATTTTGACTAGACATACTTGGGAAAACACATCCCCTGACAGATTTGATTCATTAGTTGTGGACTGTAAGACTACATCAACAGAGTGATTATTTTGCCAGTTAATTATTCCTTCCATGTGTTCACAAAACTAGAGTTAATAGGGTTTTCAGAGTCAACAACAATGATGAAAACTAAAGATAATTTTAACCGCTCTAAATATTTTGGAAAAAATACTGTATTAATTGCAAAATGTTAAGAATATCTTCAAATTTGATAAAAAGAATAGTGTCCCACTACTTTATTAATTAATGTATAATATTCAAACAGATTTAATTCTTATAGCCAAAGAAGCTCTCTTGAGAGTACAAGAAAGGATCCCAGCAATTACATTTATAATACAACTTATTCATTCTTTTCTTCTAATTTGGCAACTGGAAATTAGGATACAAATCATATTTTTTCTTTTTTAAAATTTCTCGTTCTTCACCCCAGAGCTCCCCAGTACATAGTTGTATATTCTAGTTGTAGGTCCTTCTGGTTGTGGGATGTGGGATGCTGCCTCAGCATGGCCTGATGAGTGGTGCCATGTCCATGCCTAGGATCTGAACCAGCAAAACCCTGGGCCGCCAGGTCAGAGTGTGCGAACTTAACCACTCGGCCACAGGGCCGGTCTTCATATTCCTTTTCATGCTACCCAACTTTAAGAATCTATCTCTTGAAATAAAACTGAAGAGGGATGGAATTATTTGATGACAAATGAATAAACCAGTTAATGGTTTTCAAATGTGTTCTTTCAAGTCTTTTCAAGGGACAATGGTGTGAGGGAAGTAGGTGGGAATCAGAAGTGGGAAGGCTTACTTAAACATATATCAAAATATATATAGTACACATTGGGTTTTATTTGAAGAAAGAATTCTACAACAGCTGAAAAACCATATTGTATGTAGTCTTCTGTAGCCCTTTTTTTTTTTTTTCACTTTTGGAATTAAAAATACATTTACTAAAAAAGAACCGTAAGATTTCTGGTTAACTCTGGTAGACTGGCTACACACGCCTATTTCCTCTCCATCCTGAAATCCACTAAAATGACACACACACAATACAAGAGACGACAATAGGAGAAAAGAGAGTTTAACACATTTTTGGATGACAACAGCTAAAAGTAGCAGAGTAAAGGAAGCTCTAAATGGGGTGCCTGAAGAGAGGGATGTTGAAATAAGACTGACTCCACAAGATCCTGGAAATGCTCATGAATTAGAGGTATATAGTATCTGGATAGGTAGAGATAAACTACAGCAGTGAAAACAGAAGAACCAGTGAAAACACTGTATATGGCACTTAACCCTCCAGATCCCTTTTCCTGTTCCTAATCCCACAGGGGACCAGAGGTTTAGTTTCTAGAGAAAGTGAATTTGAGAAGCTCTGTACTCTAGCACTTCGCGGGGGAGGAGGAAGGTGCTGGGCTGAAAACAGATGGATTAAAAAGAAATCTGCACACTGAACCCAAATTCTAGCAACATGGTTTATACTGCAGGCAAGAGATTAAAGATTCTTCTCTAGAGATATTTAATGACCCCAAAGAAAAGAATGACATAGGGCGGGAGAGGGCAGTGAAAAAGCCAATTATCTTCCAATTTAAAGAACAGGAAACAAGGATCACTAAACCTTTAAAGAACACCTCACACATAAACAACCAAAGGAAAAAAAACCAAGAAAACAAGCAAACTAGAAAAAAGGAAATCAGAGAAAGCAGATAATTTGAGAAGCAGAAGAAAAACACTAGAGAAAAATGAGAAGATATGTCCATAAAATAAACAGATGACAAAAAAGGAACAAGCAAATAACAAGAAGGGCTGTTGGAAAATAAAACAGGATATCACAGCCTCCCTACCACAACCCAAATCCTCCATCAAGCAGAAGGCAAAAGAAAGTCATCTTCAGACATGCTAGGAATCAGAAAGTACCTCCCACACACCCTTTTCTCACGAATTTACTGGAGGATGTGCTGTGGTAAAATAAAAGTAAACTGAGAGAAGAGAAAATGTGGAATCTAGGAAACAGACTCTGACACAGCAGAGAGCCAAAGGAAACAGGCTAATGGCAAAGGCAAGTCTCCTGTGAGAGCCACACACCAAGTCTACAGAGCAACTAGTCCAGAATGGAGCAGAAAGATGTAAAAACCTGAACTGAAAAGACCATATGTGCGATCACATGTTTCATCATGTAAAAAACTCTAGAGAGGCTACTGGAAGATAAAGGAAGATACTTAGTAACAAGTTTATGGAAAATTAAGCAAGTAAAAATGAGACAATTATTAAGTCCAGGAAAAACGAAGGGTTGCAGAAGAAAAGAAGCGTGGTCATAACACACAGCTTGACTGAGTAATGACAGGTTTTACATAGTCACGCGACTCTAAACTTTATTAACTTTATTAATGGTGACAGGACTATCTTTGAGTGACAGGGGAAGAGGCAGAATGAGTGGTTTGTTATGGGAGAAAAAGTTCTCATCTACCATGGCAGAAAGTCTGTAGTGTCCAAAGTTGGTAAGCTAGGAAACAGCAGTATATGCATATTACAGTTATGCATTGCTTAACGACGGGTATCCATTCTGAGAAATGTGTTATTAGGCGATTTCATTGTTGTGAAAATGTCACAGAACATACTCACACAAACCTGGATGGTATAGCCTACTACACACCTAGGCTACACGGTACTAATCTTATGGGACCACTGTCGTATACGCAGTCTGTTGTTCAGCAAAATGTTGTTATACAGTGCATGACTGTATTTAGAAATTGGGAGGTAAAGGCAAGAGAATTTGCCAGGCAAATGGAGGATGGTTGTTTCTAGAGAACAGAATTGTGGATTGTTGGTGGGTGACAATTTATTTTTCATTCTAAGTCTTTTGATAATATATAGCTTGTAAAAATAAAGTATTACTACTCTAAAAATGAAAATTGATAACAAAAAGTAAAGATGACTCATTAAATGTACCTAAAACAAATATAACCTGATGTTTTGATTTGTATGCCTTTGTATTTAATAAATCACATATTAAAGGCAATACCTGTTAATATACTAAAATTAAAAAATACAGATAAGAAAATGAAAAAAAGAGAATATAAACAAAACTCTAAGTTTTTCCTTTTTCTGTGGATATTTCTACATAACTACTTTTAATGACTTTGGAACAGAAGAGTTTAATAAATATTGTAAGAATTAGTGGAAGGAGAGAAAAATCTGATACATTAACGATTCCCAGATCACTGGTAGGGCAGAAGAAACGAAAGGAGTAGGAATAGAACAAAAGATGAAAGAAAAATTTCCTTTTTTTATGTATCATAGAATAAAATTCTTTGAGACAATGTCATATCCTATGTAAACAGTACAGAGTACATGCTTGTGTATACAGATATATTTACACACATACACAAACATGTGGGATACTTGTCTATTTTATGTAACATATATCATCTCTCACCAGAATACTAAATAAAACATATCAGGAATAGGCTCTCCTATAGGATCAGAAGGAATGAGAGAATAATTAATGAATGACACAGATTATTTGTAGTAATCAACTAAAGTTAAAGTTAATAAAGTGCTCAATAAAAGCTCTACTAAAAAATAGTATACAGAATACAAATAAATGGGATATCTATATTAAATCTTATTAGCCAAAGAAATGAAAAAGAACAGTTTATATACTAACAGTATCTATTTAATATTACTAGATGTATGCTGTCATGTCAATCTTATATGCTATAGAAAAGTAACATGTTGTTTTCTCCCAAGTGTTTAAAAAATACATGTAGAAATTTCCTTAATCTGACTTCTTTACTGAGGCTATTCTCATTTTAAGTTATTATTTACATACGTTGTCTTTGCTATTATGGAAACTGCCATAGTAATTAAATGTTACTCAAATGGAGAATATTTTATTATAAAAGGATACAGGTAAATATAACTGTTGGGTGATATGACATATGATGCTATAATACAGTCACTCAGTAAAATATCAACTTAAAAAATTTTCTGGTCCACATTTTGTCTTTTTTAATCATTATTACTCAAGGGGTTATATAACTTTCATTAATAAAATTATAATACTCCAATTCTTGAAAGACATACTGTCAGGAAATCAATCATAAAAAAACATTCCCCTGGTTTGCGATATATTTTTCTAGGGTAAAACTAAGTCAGTCATAGTGAAAAACCTAAACGAATTTTCATGCATAAATAATTAAGGATTGCCATAATTAGAAGTAAAAAAATTTACCTGACATAGAGGGATCGCTTCTGGCTAGTTCGAAGAGAACCAGATCCTGAACTAATGCTACTGTTCATCATCTGCTCCCGTAAGTCATGTATTTTGGCTTCAAAACGGCTGTATTCTGACAGAAGAAAAAGAGAAATTTATATTTAAAGAAATAAGTTACTTTAAGATAAAGTATTAAATATGCAATTTGTCATAATTGATTAAATGTGGTTAGAGTAATCTGTATACATTTTGCCCAATATGCAAATTTCAAAAATTAATAATCTTCTAAATGTACCATAAATTAGAATTGGCTTAATTAGAATTTTCTCATATGCTATTTTAAAGTTCATATAACATTTAATCAATTAAAAGACAATTTCCATGCATCAAATAGCAATATCAATCTTATATTACTGTCTAATTTAACTATAAATTTTAAAAATTAAAAATCAGGATTTATTCTAATTTTTATACTTAAAAAAAGAAATCTACAATAATTTATACTAGATACCTTGTATACTGACACTTTCCCCATGAGAAAATCAGGTAATCTTATATTCTTAAATACAGAACCTGTACAGAATCTATTAATAATATGGGAAAAATATGCCTTAAAAAACTGATAAATGAAATTAAATTTACTTCAACTCATTTTATAAGTTTCCAAAATACCAACCAACAAAAAAGACACAAAAGCAATCTGAAGTAAGAAACATTTTATTTAAGATATTTTTATACAAAAACAAGTATGATTTTGAAGATGTACTATTTTAAACTGTATCATATATTAAAAATGACTAAATCTATTAATAATAAAAAGTTTAAGCATTTTTTTCAAAAATACTGCAATTACATGGTTATATATGCTTATACCTTTTTCTCTATTTATAACAAATCATTCTACAAACAATTCGGTCAGATTCCATCAGATTTTCTTATAAAACCAGTCTGACAGCAAGAGCAAATAACTTGTCTGGGAGTTGGGTAGTTTAGGAAGGCAGTAAGAGTAAGCACGACTATTGCTGAGTTAGTCACTCCTCTTCTCACTATAGTCTTCAAGCTTGCTCTATGGATATCAAAATTAACTGAAGCAACAATTCATCAAAAAACTAAAAAACATTTAAAAGCTCACATTACTGTATAATAAGATATTCTTTTATCGTCCTTTAAAAATACAACAGAAAATTTAAAGTACAAACATCAGTAGAATGATTAGTATAACAACGCAACAATTCCCGACTCATGGCAAATCTTCAGTCTGTGCAGACACAGCTAAGATACAGACAGACTGACGGGAGATACAGATAAAAATATAAAGTGATCAGGAGTTTATACTGGTTCTTCTAATTAAATTAGGACCATTAGCTTTTTACTTAATATCTTATATCTCTATGTGCTTTCTTGCATATGAAGAATCCTGGTTCTCAAGACACTGGGGATAAAAGAACTACAGTACTGCATCATGACTTCTTTTTATCCAAGATTACATTCACAATAGTCTTAAAGTGACAACACCAACACAACGACCACGACGTGATTACTAAACAGTTAACTATTTTCCCTAGTTCTTTTCATCCTTAGCGTATGGTCTACCAGGGACATATAGGTGAATTACTGTTTTGAAGTCACTTGGAATAGTTCTTCCCTAGGTGTTAACGCTGCCAACTGGATATACATTTAGGTTCATTTGTTCTTTTTCACTTTCAACTTCAAATTTTAGGGGTTGATTTTTAAATTCTTCATTGTTTTTATTAGGTAGGTAAAATAGTTCCAAAGTTAAATCTATAAAACAAGCTTATCAAAAAAAGTCTAGCTTTTATCTTTCCCTCACTCTACTCCATCCTGGTCATTACATATAATTATTTTTAAAAAGACTTATTGTTCTATTTTTACTAATATAAGCAGAGACATACATACAAGCAAATATATTTATATATACTTACTCTACATTATTTTAATATATAATATATAATTATGTGTGTGTGTATATATACACACAACTATATATGTATTGCTCCTCTTTCTTAAATTAAGTTATACACTTTTCCAATCTGCTTATTTTACTTAATAGTAAGTATAGGAATAGTAAGAACACTCCATAGTAGCAATTATAGATGTCCCTCATTCTTTTTTTATAGATATATAGTTCTCTTATTTTTAACCTTTATCTTTGTTACAACAAAATACCACATAGGGTTAGATTCTGCTTTATAAGCAAATCTGAAAGTTGTTTTCTTTTAACAATTAAGGTGAGTTAACTTTTGATATGACTAGAGTTGTTTGATCTCAGTTCTATTCATACTATTTTGTTATATTTATATATATCGAATACATATGTATATTGAAGCCTTTTATGTAAAGAGCTTGTGGCAGATTGTATCTTCCAAAGATGCCTGCATCCCACATGTTCTTGTACTGTATGATCTTGCTGCTCCCCCATCAAGAAGCAGTCTAGTCCCCTTCTCCTTGAATTTGGGCTGGTCTTGACTCACTTGTAAGCAAGTCAATGTGGCAGAAATGATCATATGTGCCTTTCAAAGTTAGATTAGAAGTGGTCGTGAAACTTTTGTCTAGTTCTTTGAAGATGCCTGTTCTGGCGAAAGCCAGACAGCATGTAAGAAGTCTGACTATCCTCAAAGCACCATGATTGAGGTTACATGATGCTCCGAGCCGAAACTTTCAGTCAGTACCACCAAGCACAACACAAGGAGAGAGAAGCTATTTTGGTCTCTCCAAAGCAGCTCATCCACCAGCTGAATCCCATTAAGTGACCTCAGTCTATGCCATGAGGACCATCTAGCCAAAAATCCTCCCTGAATTTCTAATCTACAGAATCCATAAAATGGTTATTGTTTTAATCCACTAAGCTTTTGGGGTAGTTATGAAGCAACAGTAACTGGAACACAGTCTCACTGTGCACCTTATTTTATTTGTTCATATACACACACACAAATTTATATATAAAAACATTAAATTCTTAAACAAAGAATTATATACATACATACAAATAATATATATAGATATATAAAATGAAATTTTTATATAAATATATTTATAAATATTTACATATTTATAAAATTTTTATATTAAATAAAGTTTATATTTACAAATATATAAATATAAAATTAGGAAGGTTTGTTTTTTTGTTCTACTGATAACCTTTTGTTTGGCTTTTGGCTCTCTACTATGAGCAATCTCCCCAGATCTGATTTGAAATATTATCCTTTTATAACCAGTTAAAAACTTTAAAGCAATCAGAAAGCTTATTCTATTTTCATATTATCTCCAAATTTTCCCATTTTCTGATAACTTTATCCAAATTGTCATAGCATACAGTCTTTTCCTATTATACACTCTCTCCCTTATTACTATCTTAACTGCCCACACCAGTCCTTATGTCAGTATCTCTCCCATCATTTTGGGTGTCTGAAGTTTGTTGTTCTCCTCAGGAAGGGTTTATATGAACAATATCACCCTAATTCTTTGTTGATACATTTGATTGCAGCCTTTATAATATTATGTGAAAGCCTGTTTGATTCAGTTTCTTTCTTTGATACTTTATGTTGTCTCCATTGTCTCCTATAAACCACTGCTGATGAAGTTCTGACGACAACCTCATTTTCTTTTCTTTATAAGGGCTGTTTCTTTTTGCCTGGCATTCCACTCAACTTTTTCTTTTTAATTTCAATAATTTTATTAGAATATTTCTCAGTGCTGGTTATCAACTCAGGTACATGGAATGTCCTTGTGATATGCAGTTTGAAAAAACTTTTTTTTTAATTTTAGAAAAGTTTTCTTGTTTGTATATTTTTAGTATTTGTTCTGGGTTTTTTCCTGAGACTCCTATTTTACGTATGTTGAATATTCTTTGCCTACTTTCTAAATCTGTCACTCTTCAAATCCTTTTTTATTCTTTCTTTGTTTCTTTTTTAAATTAATATATTCTTTAAAGACTGAAGCCATCACAGGGAGCCAGCCCTGTGGCCTAGTGGTTAAGTTCGGCACCCTCTGCTTCGGCAGCATGGGTGTGCTTCCCAGGTGTGGACCTACACCATTCATTGGCAGCCGTGCTGTGGCGGTGACCTACATACAGACTAGAAGAAGACTGGCACAGATGTTAGCTCAGGCAAATCTTCCTCAGTAAAATAAAAAGAAAAAAAAGATTGAAGCAATCACACAAACTGTTTTTCTTGAACCATTTGAGAGTAAGTTGCTACCTTGATCTATCACCACCCTTGAATATTTCAGCACATATTTCCTACAAATAAAGATATTTTCTTATACAACCACAAAATCATCAAAATCAAGACAGTGACATCAATATACTACTACCATCTAATGTTCATATCCCGTTGAAGTTTCCCCAATAATGTCTTTTATAGCAAAGGATCCAGTTTGAAATCACAAGTTATATCTGAACACAAACATTTTAGTTGTCATATCTTTTTAGTCTCCTTCAGTCAGAACAGATCCTTAGTGTTTCCTTGACTTTGTAATTTTGATACTGTTGAAGACTACAGGTCAATTATTTTGTAGAAGGTCTCTCATTTTAGGTTTGTCTGATGTTTCCACATAATTAGATCCAGGTTATGCAACTTGGTGGGAATATCACAGAAGAGATGTTACGTTCTTTCCAATGCACCCTATTAGGTGGTAGGCAATTTTGATTTGCCACATTACTAATTTATTATTGTCACATTATTAACTTTTAGCACTTGAGGAAGGCTGCGTCTGCCAGGTTTCTCTACTGTAAAATTATCCTTTTCCCTTTGCAAATAGTAAGTTATTGAGACCATGTACACTTTTCCATTCTTATCAAACTTTCAATTAATTCATTTATTTATATTAGTAAAGACTCATGATTTCCTAATATATTCAGTGGATTATAATCTGGGATTATGATCATCAATCAGATGTTCAAATTCTTCCCGATTTAGCCAGCAGGAATCCTTTCAAACTGGATTGTGTCCTTTGCACATGTCTCCATCATTCCTTGAGCAATTCCTTGCTTTCTGGAACTGGCTATTACAGAATAATCTAGTACTTTCCCTGCCCGACTCCTGGAACCAGTCATTTATCCAAACAGCCTTGGTAATTTTGGTGGGGAATAGTATTTAGAAGCCAAGATCTGAG